CCGGAATAGCCATCATTACAATTTTAAGATGGCATCGCCTAAAACCAGAGAAGCCAGGATCGCCTGGGGCAGGCATTCCCCATCCCTTTAGGACGTCCATTCTTCCAAAGTCACAAACGAGCATGAAGTGAATTGTTGTTTTTAATTTACTAGACACGCCATCCTCCAGAAAACGTCAAAAGTCCTCCGAGAACACGAAATCCCAGAGAAAACTGTTGCCGCAACACACCGGTTAATTGTTATGCAATCTTCGACTACAAATACTGCATGTTCATAGTTTATGGATCTGAAATGCGAGAAATGGTACTTTGACATCTAGAAGGAACTATGTTGTTTGTTCCGTCAGGAAATAATATAAGACCCACCAGTTTGCCTTTGAGATGATTAAGTAAGAAATCTGCGCAGATCTAATAACAAATCATAAGAAAACACCTGGAAATAAAAAAAGCTCATGGGTAATCAGTCGGCTTGGAGAATACCATTTAGATATTTTCCTTAAGTAACAACCTTTATTTTAGAAAAAGCCCTATTTTTAGAACAATGGTAAAAAGCAACAATAGATGACTCACAGAAACACACAATAAAAGAAAAACAATTTCTACAAAATCTAATAATATTACGTCTGAACATTATTTCTCATAAGCATGACTAGTGCTTTCTCGAAATGACCTACAGTCTCTGCACTTTTTATTTGATTTGGTAACTTATTATATTCTCTCCGACCTTTGTACATGATTGTTTGCATTGTGCATACTTTATTGGTTTTAATTAAATGAAAATAGCAGTTGGTTCTGGTGTAATAGGTATGAATTTCATTGTTTCTTCGCAGAAGTGCTACTAAACAATTAAGTGAGCTGTTAAGTAAAGATGTTGGCTTACAAACAACCATTGTAGAGTATTTAATATATCTTAATTTTTGTGCATCTGTTGCATTGCAAAATAACCCACATTCGTGAATTTTGTATTTTTTGTGCTTAGTCCTGCTGAAGAAATACAATAAAGATGAACAGTACTAAATTTAAGCTTTATTGTTGTTTTATAAACTGTAAAAAAATCTGAAATTTTTCAACAATGTAATCGCTATGACTGTTAAAATTTATATTTCTGTCTGTCAAAGGCTCTATTTTCAACTCCGATTTGAATTTTAGCCTTTTTTATATTCCTGTCCTTGTTTCAACTTGATATAATCATTGCTTTTAACTTTTTAGCATTCAGCTTCAATTTGTTCTTTTATAAATATGCTTTAATACTGGTTTTTTTTTTTTTTTTTTTTTTTTTTTTTTTTTTTTTTACCTTTTATTGCCACTTTGTGTTTTACGTTTGTCTTATTTTCGTATTGTTTGTTACTTTTACTTACTCTTTTATGTTCTACTTTAAATGACCTGTGCAAACACATTTTTGTGTAATAGTACCAATAAATTATTATTATTATTATTATTATTATACAATATCAACTCCCTGATCAAGGTTTTTGATTGATGCCTTTACCCTTATTGTGAGTCCTATGCACATGAAAACTACAGGACAAGTTTCAGGAGTTACAAGTGGAATATTGGTCTATCAGGATAATGCCCCCAACCGTATCCCCTGCATTGCTATCGCTCTGCAAGTTCTGGTTAACGAACCTGTAATCGTTGATCCAGCTACGCTGCTTGTACGTCTGAACTGTCGTGTTTTGTCCAGCTTGTGACGCTCAATATTCATGCTTCGTGTCACCTGTGGCAACTTACGTCACTGTCAAGCAAAATATGTCAAACATTGCAGTGTAACTACAAATTTGTGTTTCACCAATACCTTGTTCTCTGGTTAAAGTTAACTACCGGTTAGGGCAAACCTGGCATCAAAAAACGACTATTGAGGTTTAACTTCACGGTAGCGGTGGAACTGTGGTTAATCTGCGATTTAATTACCGGGCCTAAGCAAGCTTTGAACTGGTAGAGTAACCAACGCATTGGCCAGTTAAATAGAAACGACATTTACGAAAAAAGAAATTTTCAAGTAAACAACGGGTGATACCTCCGGCAGAGAAGTGTTTTTCAGATGCCGTATAAAATTTTTACCGAAAGGCTAGTGAAATGCTGGAGCATCGGTTAAACCATAGCATCTAGGACTAGATAGAAAAATAAAACATGAATTAAATGTTGTGTAATAGATTGTAACTTGGGCTATTATTACGCTCTCAGTAAAAGACATTATTTGTTTTATGATGAACTTTATTATGTGCAATATCTGTTGCTAGGTACTGCCAGGTATTGTGGTCATTCATCTGCTCACCGCAGCATTTCCGGTGACATATCGACCTCTGCAAGGAAGACTATTTATTTTGTAACTCAGTTTTGGCTGAACTGAGATACAGGCATTAGAAGATTTTCTGATGAATTTCGTCAGAAAAATGACGACCTTTGCAAAAATATGTTGTACATTGCAGTAATTCTTGTATACAAAGTGTAAACGTTATGGTAGTCATTATTGAAATGGGTAATAGGGGGGGGGGGTCAAAACAAGTCAAAAAGTTCATATGACCCATGGTCCAAAAGTCAATACATTTTTGTCTAAATGGCTTTATAGTTTACAACTTTAAGTGCTTTATATCGACCACAATCACCACAACCTTACTCATTTTTATAATCTAATCTAAAACGTTTTTAAATTGGGTAATTAAAAAATAAATGGCATTAAGTTTTTCTAAGTTAATCCAAAATTTGTAGTCAGTAAGTAAGTTTCATTAAATTACATATTTAAAACACACATCGCATCGGTCTTTCATCACTCTTATCGACAACCGATCGCAAACGGTAACAGTGGTTGGTTATCGTTTTGCATAGATAAATTACTTTATCGTTTTGTCGAGCAGAGCGTCGGGCGTGTTGTTTTGTTTTTGTTCGCGTACGTCGTCGTGCTTATTTACAATGTTCTCGAATCAAGAGTTCGCCGACATGTTGTTAGTTTACGGTGAAGCTCGTCAGAATACAAATCTTGCAGCTCAAATTTATCGCGACAGATTTCGCCAGACAGAAGGACATTTGTGCAAGTGTACCGAAGACTTCGAGATATAGGAAGTGTTCACCTTAGACAACATGTCATTACAACGGAGACAGAATTTGTGGGTTCTTCATGACGGGGCACCACCACACAGTTTTAGAGGCGTCATTCAGTATTTGAATGAACATTATCCAAATCGCTGGATCGGTCGAAATGATCCTGATCCTCGAAAATGGCCAGCAAGATCTGCTGACCTCAATCCGATGGATTTCTGGTATTGGGGAGAACTTAAAGGGATGGTTTATGGGGCTGGTCCAATAACAACTGAAGCACAACTTCGGGAAAAATATTTTAATGCGGCTGAAATAATAAATGGACAACTTCGAGGAGCTAGAGTAAGAAGAAACTGGGTTCGTCGTAATGAAGCTTGTGTGGAAAGTGGAGGACGACATTTTGAACACCTTCTTTAAATACGAAAAAAGTGCAGTGTGGGTTTTAAAAAGAACAACAATGTATGTATCAAAATTGTGTTCTCTATTTATAAGTGGATTTTTTTAATACGTTCCATAAACTTTCACACACCAGGTGAAGCGCTGAGACAGTTACTGGTAAGTCCGTTTTTTTTAATTGTTTGCATTTTACGAGTACAATATCAAATAATGGAATAAATAATACCTAAGAGCCAAAAATATTTATTTACACTACGTTCCGTTCTAATTTGCGTCTGGCATTGCGGCGTTGTCAGATTTTATTTTACTTCAAAAGTCGCTTTTCTCTAAGAAAATGCCGTTTTGACCCCCATGTTATATGAAACTTTTTGCTTCTTTTAATCCCCTCTATCACCCATTTAAATAATGACTATCATAACGTTCACACCGTGTATAGAAGGTTATATACAGGTTATTACAATACAAACTTATCGAAAATGTAATTTCTTTTTAATACATTTTGTTGATTTACTACAGGTTTCGTTGGATCAATTGCTCTAGACTTAGTAGGATATTTATTGAAATATTACAGTATTTTTCAAGCAAATGGTCAAAAAACGTCTTTAATGCCAATCTGAGTCACTCAAAATATATACATCTTCATGTGCTCCACTATCATCGATCTCAACTTCTGTATTTTTAGCAAAAATGGAAAGCAGCTAAGCCTCATGAATGCTAGGAAGACTGTTTGCTTTTGATGTACCATTTTAATTTTCTAGCATCTACTGGAAGCAAGCTTGTGTAGTGTAAAGCAGAGGCAGTTCCTGAAGCATATTATTTTGCGGTCTCATTCTGTGATAATCAATGTTACTATCGTGAGATTATCAGCATAGTCGCACTTATATTTTATTTCACGAGGCACTTATTTATTTTCAATTTTTCTCCACAATCGTCTTTGTTTCAATTTCCCGATTTTACCTTTTATTCAAATGGATCCACGACCAACCGCAGACAGCGCTCTCTAGCGCTCATCAGTACGATAAAGGTCTGTAATATAAGCCTGTATCAGATCCAGACTTGGAGATGAAAGGATGAATAGCAAACACGTGAGTGTCGTCTTAGCAAAACCGAGGACTGTAGTACGAGGGATGTCTTTTAAGTTTGCATATAGAAACAAAGTAAGCCGCGCGGATCGAACGTCAGTACTGAATCTTAACCTCACTCTTTAGTAAACTTAAATTCAAAGTTTCGCAACAATACGTGCAGTGTTCTCACTACAGTGAATTTTTGAGTGTCACCAAGTTATTAGAAAAATGGAACTCAACCGAGAACATTTTCGCGCCAAAATTTATTACAACTTTCAGTGATAATTACCGCAACAAGAATGCCTTGTCTGTTTTCGGCAACAAAGGGCCACATCAGTCGACAGTTTCCCGTTGGTATGGAGAATTCAAACGTGGACTTGTGAGTCTTAGCGACGATGCTGTGCGCCAACTCATCATTGAAGATAGACATGTGACATTATCGCGAGATTGAGGCGTCCTTGAAGATCTCAAAGACCTCAATTCAAAAAATTTTACATGAAGATTTAGGAGTAAGAAAATTAGTTTTTCGTTGGATACCCCACCTGTTGACTGAAGAGCAGAAAGCAGCCAGGGTTAATTGGTGTCAAAAAACGCTTGACCGTTTCAATTCTAGAAACTTAAAAAATGTGTACAGCATTGTTAGTGGTGATGAATCGTGGATTTACTGTTATGAACCAGAAAATAAACGACAGTCGGCTGTTTGGGTGTTCCAAGGTGAAGAAAAGCCAACAAAAGTCATCCGTTCTCGAAGTGTTTCGAAAAAGATGGTCGCGACATTTGTGTCAAAAGCGGGTCATATTCCAACAATTTCTCTTAATGAGCAAAGATTTGTTACTGTTACATTTGTTTGCCAAAAGTCATTACCGAGCTTCGAAAAATAAACCCCACCAAGACAATGCAAGCTCGCACACAGCCCAAAAAAAGAGGAAGTATTTAACGGAAGAAAACGTGGAATTATTGGACCATCCTTCATATAGTCCCGATCTAAGTCCTAACAATTTCTTTACTTTCCCGAAAATTAAAAACAGACTGCGTGGTCAAAGGTTCCAGTCATCAGAAGAAGCAGTTGACGCATTCATAAATGCTGTTTTGGATCTGCCAGCAAACCAGTTGAATAACTGCTTCGAAAATTGGTTCGAGCGCATGCAGATGTGTATGTTATTAGTCTTCGTGGAGAATATATCGAAAAACAATAAAGTCATTTAAAACTACCTACCCTGTTGTTTTATTTCCATATGCAAAACTTAAAAGACATCCCTCGTATGTAGTTGAATTATCTGTTAAACTGCTATATTTCACAGACATGAGAGAAACAGACTGTGATTCGACAGATCCCGCTGCATAACGTGCAGAAGAGGATGCTATATTTGAACCTTTTTGTTGCGTTAAAAGAATTCATCACTGTTTTAGAACCAAACTTGCCTGAATTTAACGGTTCAGCAACTGCACTTAGCTTCTTTGCATCTACCAGAATTATTTTGGTTATTGAATTCATTTTAGTTCGCCTTGAGAACTTCTTTTTTCATACAGCTAATACTTGAAACGTTTTCGCTATTAATTACCGTAATCTCAAATTATGTCGCGAAAATCATAGTAAGTCAGACAGTAGGTCTGACAGTTAGGCTTTCCGTGTTTTTTGCATCGAAGACAAAAGTAATTCAATTTGATGTAGTTTTCGCGGGAGCAACCGCCACTATTATACTTACTATATGACGTAGGCGATTTACTGGTTGCCTACAGTTGCATGACTGAGATACCATATTCTTCCACCAAAGAGAACCCGATAATATTTATCAATAAGTCGAAAGCAAGGATTTTTGAGTAATATTTTATATTCTTTAACAACGATATAAAACAGTGTACCATACTAAGTAACTTTATTACAACTGGGTCAGGTGTGGAGTATATGGATAACTTTCGTACTACCAACATCCTTTGGTCTATAATTGAATATTAATGACGTCACGTAAGCAAATGTCTTCCGACCTGTCAGCCTTTTTTGTAGTCCTTAGGAAAACTCGTATATTATCACCCTTATTTTTGTATGCTGCTTCAGTCTGCAGAAAAATAAGCAGGATGATGCGTTGGAATTTCGAGCACGCGTTGTTTAACTTGTTGAATATTTAAAGCAATTTGCGGTTTTCCGTTGAATGCGGTCTCCTCCCCTAAGTTCAGCACTGCTGCTGTTGAGATTGTTCCGGGGCTTTTCCCAATCCCAGCAAGCTTTCGCATTCTCTTCAATTAGTTGCATTTAATTAATGGCTTAACAAAGACATCTCCAACGTTACTCCCGCCGCTTCATCCACTGTATACGGCGCGCAACGATGCCGCCTAATGTTAACAAATAATCAACCAGATAACGCGACCAACAGATTGGGTGCAGTTCTTAGTAGAGAATATGTGTTTTTATACTTGAGATACCACGTATGTCTAAGGCCTAGAAGTAGTGGCGGAAAGCAAAGCCTGACAATTAGGCCACCTTTAACCCTTTTTGTCAATCCCGACAGGAGTATAACGTATCTTGAAATGTGACATTATGTCGATTTGTTTTGCATTATTTAGGTTTTTTGTGATATTATACAGGATTTTTTACATGATGTCAACTTAGAACTAGCGGTTCTTCATTTGATGTGCACTTGTTCTGTAGCTGTACATCTTGCTTATACGTCATGGCGCTTCAGTAATCATGATTTGGCTATAGTGAGATGTAACATCTGCTTCAGAGATGGCATTATTGGAGATCTAAGCTGTAAGTTGTATAATATAGTTAGAAGGAAACGGCAATGCATAGGTGCATAGTGAGGATTTGTGTGCTAATAGTCTGTGTTGATAATTCCATTGTTTACTTGTGTCAAAGATGAAGATTAGTTGAGGAGCTCGCGTGCAAAACCGGATATATCCACTTTTTACAGAAAAACTTGTTTTGGTGGTTTCTGGGTCTAGGTCGTGATATCTATAGGCCTACATATTCGTTTGCAACCAAAACCGTATAAATCCCTTTAAAATCTTTAAGTGGAGTTCGACGTTTGGAGCAAAATTAGATATATCCAAATTTTGCAGGCAAAAGCGGATAAGTTATGGTATCCTTAAAGCATTAACACCATCTAAGTCCCTACGAGTATAACACCGTCCCATACTCGTGAGACAGGATGTGATGTTTGCATTTTTACCCGAGACTAGTGATTTCTGGAAAATTCGTAAGAGTAATCTTATAATATAAAAAGGGTCTTTGACCATTCTCTGTACTCATTTCGTTGCTTGTGCTTCTGTTCTCAACTGTTGCTGATGTCTCAATAAAAGTTTGTCTACAAAAGTTACTGAAGTATTTCTCTAACATCATTTGGCGATTACAAGAGAAATAGGAACGCGAGTGATAATTCCTCAGTGCAATCAATCACCCACGATCCACACGTATTCAATTGGCGCTGCGAACAGGATGCCCAGCCTTCATCAAGTAGTGTGACTTGGTCAGAAATCACGAAGATTCACTGAGAAGCCAGCTAGAAGGTAAAAGTTTTCAAACTTTCGCAATTGGGTATCGCTACTGAAACCTGTGAACGAGTTTCGAGGCCGGTAAGACCTCTCAAGTTCCTGTTCCAAGTTTATCCTAGTGGCCGGTAAGACCACACCAGTTCCAGTATCTTTTTGGAGAAAACTTTTGCATCCAGAACAACCAGAAAACAGAACGAATGGGTCCCTTGGCGACATCGATGCTGATCACGTCATTGTAAGTAGATTTAGAAAGTTTATTAAGAAGCAAGAAGATTTTTATTGAAGAAATTGAAGGAAAAAATATAAGGAGATCTTGCTATTAGTTGATATTGTACAAAGAAGAGAAACCATTTGGAGAACAAGACGAGTTATTTGATTTTTGCTGCATTTTTGCTTGTTAGTATTTAAGATTGTATTTTTATGCCTCTTGTTAGACGATTTACTAGAGAGAGTTCATACTCCCCTTACACTTATCCACGTTCAAGTTCTAGTTCTACTGATTCTTCTCTTGACCACAATATTTCAAATTCTGAAACCACAATGGCACAACCAAATGGTAATGAACGTTACAGAATCCTTGAATTACGATTCAGGAGTCTTAATGACTCTCTGCCAAAATTGGCTCCTAACCAAAATAATTTGTCTACCTTTATCCGAGAAAGTGAGTTGTTCATTTCAAAATTCCAAAACATAGAATTCGAAGAGCCTGCTGTCGAATTGGTCATGTTAAATATTCGAGATCGAGCTCTCGAAAAGGTCAGAAATCACGGTGCCAATTCATGGTTCGAAGCTCGTGATGTTCGTATTCGAAATTATAAAAATACTAACAATGAAACAGTCCTGTCAAATGAAATGACTATATTAATGTTATTCAGAGCAAGCAATTAGGTCCATACTTATTGAACATTTACAAAACATTTATAAAAAGGAACAATTATTACCATTTGATTCCATTCATTTATTCGAAATCTATGACATCTCTCAAATGTATATTATTTGTTTACAAGATGAAATTATATTTGTAATTAAGTTTCCCATTTTGAATATTAAGGAATTTACATTGTATAAATTATTTGCGATTTCTATTCATCATGAACTTATTACTCTGCCAAGTGAGTATTTATTAACTTACGAAAAGAATTATTATTGATCTGACATTAAGTTAGACCTAGCTTATGCAGCACCAGGCACGCGATATCAGTTTCAGAAAACAAATGTTTCACTGGAATCTTATTTACATCAAAACCTTTGTCAGCTTTCAGAATTTACATTATAGATCTACTGTAAAGTATCCTACCATTTTAGTTTGTATTCTTATATTTTTAATCATTTTTATTATTGTATTTGTAAAATATCGTTATGTAAAGGACACCAAAGTTCCACCCACAACTCCAATTTCTAAACCCGCTGAGGAAATACCTTTAGCTTAATTTTGTCTGATTCGAGACGAATCTTTTTCACCGTGGGGAGGAGTTATGGTATACTTAAAGCATTAACACCATCTAAGACCCTACGAGTATAACACCGTCCCATACTCGTGAGACAGGATGTGATGTTTGCATTTTTACCAGAGATCACTGATTTCTGGAAAATTCGTAAGTGTAATCTTATAATATAAAAAGGGTCTTTGACCATTCTCTGTACTCATTTCGTTACTTGTTCTTCTGTTCTCAACTGTTGCTGATGTCTCAATAAAAGTTAGTCTACAAAAGTTACTGAAGTATTTCTCTAACATCATTTGGCGATTATAAGAGAAATAGGAACGCGAGTGATAATTCCTCAGTGCAATCAGTCACCCACGATCCACACGTATTTAATTGATATATCCTAATAAACCAGTCTGTGGGTATTCTGATGCAATTTATAGTACGTTACGGACATTGAGTTATGATCACACGTGCATTCAATCGTGCTAGATTTATCTAATAAAAGTAGTGTTTTTTCTGTTTTAAGTTGAAAATTGTATAGTATGGAGGAGGATATTAGTGAAAATGAAGGAAGCGATAGAAGCAGGAAAAGAAAAAGTCGCGAGAACAAACGAGAAAAGCGTAAAACGCAAGTAAGGCAAGTAAGGTTAAGTTATTTCTTAAAATTGCGATAATACCACAATTTTCATGTATTTTAGGTATTTAGACCCCGACCCTAGATTAGAAGAGAAAATCCGGCAGGATATGTTTTTATGTAATTATATGTCTGTTATGCCAGCTAAACGACGCAGACAAAATAAAGAAATGAAAGACAGGAACGCAACAGTTTGTTACATGTTAAAGGCTGATAAAAATATGATTAGGGTTTGCAAAACGTTTTTCTCTGCTGTTTTTGGCGTAACTAAACACAGACTTGTCACAGTTGCAAAGGTTCTGGAGGAAGGAGGTGTTCCAAAGGAGAAAAGAGGAGGTGATAGAGTATCTAAGAAAACGGCATCTAATAAAGAAAAAGTACGACAATTTATTGGTACCTTGCGAGGTAAAGAAAACCACTGCAATAGAAAAAAGTCGAAACGTAGATACCTTTCTGCAACCCTTTCTGTGGCAAAGCTGCATAAAATGTATAATATGCAATGTAATCCTGAAGGTCAAGTAA